GCAGGCCTCTTTGCCTAATGAATATAGCAAAGATAGCAGTTAAATCATGAGTTATATAATTAAGCACTTCAATCAGAGGAAGTTTGGAATTTCAAAGCAAGAGGCTAATTTGCCTATTTAATATGGTTCTAGCTTTATTTAGTTAATTTCATTCAGTTTCTGATGGCACAAATGTACAGCACTGTTGATTTGCTATCAAATAGATTTCTCGATCTTAAATAGTTTCAGTAAAATGTAGACTCGTATGAGCTTGTGCAATTAAAATAACTGCTTTTGATGGATAAGATGCTGAAGCTACCAAGATAGTAATTTGCATTTACTTAGAACTTTAACAGGGACTCTTCTCTGAAATGACTCTTCTAATGAGCTACCTGTTCGAACGTGCGTGGGTGCTTGGGAGAACATATAATGACATAAAATGGAACTGACAGGAGGAATATAGAAAGCTAATTGTTAAGCAATAGCAACCGCATATTATTGTACATTTGGTTAAATTCCAAAATCCTATTTTAATGTTTCTTTCCTGTATCTGTAAATCTAATGCTTATGTTTAACAGGAAGTTTTGGTTGTTCATAAGCTACAGCTACAATGTGCAGGTTGTGAAATGCAGGAGTGCTTAGGGTTCTAAAATACAGGTAGTCCTCAACTTACGACCACAACTGAGCCCAACATTTGTTGTTAAGTGAGAAATCGGTTAAGTGAGTTTTCCTCCATTTTACGATTTTTCTCGCCACACTTGTTAAGTGAATCACTGCGGTTCTTAAATTAGTAACACTGTTGTTAAGAGAATCTGGTTTCCCCATGGATTTTGCTCGTCAGAAGGTCACAAAAATGGGATCATGTGACTCTGGGACACTTTGACTGTCATAAATATGAGTCAATTGTCAAGCCTCCGAATGTAAATCATGTGGGTATACTGCAACGGTGGTACCTCTGAAAAATGGCCATAAGTTGCTTTTTTCCAATGCCGTTGTAACTTTGAATGGTCACTAAATGAACTGTTGTAAGTCAAGGACTACCTATATGCTGTCTTCTTCTTCAGAGCCTCCACTTGATAGACAAAAATCTAACAAAAAATGGCATCTCGTGACTCCAGCAAAGAATATGTTGGAAGACTAGGGGGCAAAGCATTCATAAGCTACGGCAGCACTCAGATCAGCACATCAAGGCCAGGCTGGTATGTTTGAAAATGATGGATAGTCAGTAAATAGAAGGAATCAAAAGAACACTTTGCAGAAGAATGGAAGAGAAGGAAGGTAGAAAATGGAAAATACTTCGGAAGCACCGTGAAATATAAAGAGAGAAAAGCTTGACAAACAATACACCCACCATCTACCATGAGTACCATTTTATCTCCTGAGTACATCCTTTGAGAAATTATGTAAGAATTTAAAATGTTCTTACTTATTACGAGAAGAAAAAGCAGATAGCTGAAATGTTATTATTATTATTTTTTTTTTTTTGCAGTGAACATGCTGGTTACATGAAAGCAGGTAGTTCTTGATTTGCGATCGTTACTTAACCGTTCAAAATTGTAATGGACTCAAAAAACAATTACTTGTGACCCTTCTTTGAAATTAAGACTGCTTCATCTCCCCCGTGGCCACACGATTGCATTTTGGGTGCTTGGCAACAGGCACGCATTTACGAGCGGTTGCTGTGTCCCAGGGGCACACGATCACATTTTGCAATTCCCCCATTTTTCAGCAAAAAATACCCATTGGGACAAAATGGATTCACACTGATGACCACATGGTTTGCTTATTGACCACGTGGTTTGCTTAAGGAATCCGGTGACTTGCTTAAGGACTGTCATAAAAATGGTTGTAAAATTGCCTCCAGTCATGTGGTGCCTTAGCCTACGATTGCAACAACATACGGCCAAAATTCTGGTCTCACTTGAGGTCATAAGTGTGAAACTACCTGTAACTTTGACAGTTGAATAAGTAGTTTTGATGCCGAGTTAGGCTTCAAAATGAGGAGTCACGTGAAGATAGTAATATGACATTCTTTATGGTACATGGTAGATTTAGCAGTAATAATTCAACTCTTGGTGTGAATGGGTTCCCCCATCGTGCTGAACTTCCACTAAAAGTTTAATTAGTTAAGATACCTATCAGTACTGCGTACAATATTTGCTCTCTCCTTCCATTTTCCTGTTGCCTTGCTCAAGCAGCAAATAACCCAAGATTCGGCACTTATTGTAAATCTACATTCCAGTTGTTTGTGAACTGAGAATTTTAGATCAGTGTTTCTAAACAAGTGAGGAACTGTACACTGAAGCTAAAATTGGGTACATTTTAGCTTTTCGGCTTTCCATGTCATTGAAAGTGTCTACTGTGAAAGATTAGGGTAAACCCCCATTTTAAAGAAGCTGCACTTCTGAATTCCAAAGCAATCAGAATCTCTATCAGAATTCAGTCAGAATTTCACGGGCCCTGGTGACGCAGTGGTTAGAATGCAGTATTGCAGGCTAATTCTGCCCGCAGTCAGAAGTTTGATCCTGACTGGCTCAAGGTCGACTCAGTTTTCCATCCTTCCGAGGTCAGTAAAATGAGGACCCAGATTGTTGGGGGCAAGAGGCTGATTCTGTAAACCACTTAGAGAGGGCTATAAAGTACTGTGAAGTGGTATATAAGTCTAAGTGCTGTTACTATCCAAATCATTTTATTCTAATCATGAAGCTTATATATTGTCCAATACCATTACCTCTTGTCTTTTTCCCTCTTTTGTTGTAACAGTCTAAATTTATAGTATTTCCAGCTGATTAGTTAACGTAAGCACCTCTTGTGTCTTTGGAGAAATATATTTAATGTCAGGTCCAAAGTTAAATAGGCTACTGGTGATACCCTTGTCAATTTACCTTGTTTGAAAAAAAAAAAATGGTTTGTTTGAGGATTCTTTAACTCACATAATTAACAAACAAACTGGATTAACACCTAACAAACTATTTCTCTGCTAGTGGAATGAAATGGTCCTAGTCTCATAACTACAATTTGATGCCTTTTCCTTAGATGGTGAATAGAGAAATGATGCAGAACAGGCTGGGAAGTGTTTAGCACCTTCTCCATCTGCCATTGCTCTATATCATATTCCACTTAGACGTTCAAATAAACACCCTGAAAACTCCTTAGAGCAGAAATAATATAGCTTGTAAGAAAAGACTAAAACCACCTGTCACTTTCCTTACATTTCTTCAGTCACTTTCTCTCCGTTTCTCAAGTTTAAAAAGGATTATGGCTGTACATGTTTGCATTATCGTTTATTTTGTTTCTGAATTGGTGTCTGCTTGGTTTTATACTGTAATTTAAAACAGTATAGTAGATTGATGGTCTTCTCTGGCAGCTAAGAATTCCACCTTGCTCTGCATAACATCTAGATTTGAGAAGTCTAGTTTATTGTTTTGTTTCTGAATGTTTAAATACTTGGGTTGAGCCAAAAAGGAGTGCCAGATCAACCTCCCTGTAGTCTTAAAAATAAAATATCGAAGAAGAAGGAAAAATGAAATGGGGAAGAAAAATACATACTCAGGCACCACTTTTTAAAGTAGTTTCATCAGTCTATAATGTTGTGGTGGCAATGAGTTTCTTAGGAAGGGCTGACTATTTTCTTAGAGCCCAGTGTTGCTCTTTACAACACAACTTGTGCCAGCTTGTTTTAAATAGCTACGTAGTTACGTTAAGACAATGTTTAATGAATCCATCTAGCTACCTGAAGTTACTAGGACAATTAATATTATGCAAAGTGTTGGAAACAACACTTTTGTGTTATTGTATTTTTCTGGCTATAGCAAGAGTTCCCCCATAGAATCAAAGCTGTTCTTGAACAATTTATCCTCAAATGAAGGAAAAGTGAGTATCACATATGAGCCAGCATATCAAAATTGCCCATTTTTGCATGTTTTTAAAATCTCTCTCTCTCTCTCTCTCTCTCTCTCTCTCTGTGTGCGTGTGTGTGTGTGTGTGTGTGTCTCACACACACACACACACTTTGAATGTTGGGAATTTTATTCCAGTCAAGTGCTCCTTCTTGCTAAGCAACATTCTTTCAGCAGATTTCTAACCTCGGCGTTATTTGTATATACCAACATGGTTTGTTTTTAATTAGTCAAAATTTAGCAAAAGCCAAGAACTTGGTGTTCTGTCAAGGCTGAATTATCTGTATTAAGTTTAAAGGAGGTCCCTTGACTGGATTGAAGAGGAAGTATGCTGACAAAGCTGCTAAAGAAAAATTATAGTACTGATATCCCATAGATACATATGGTATTATTCATCAAGAGGTTATTATTAAACATAATACCATTTATTTTCAGCTGTGCTATTTGACTGTTTGTGCATTGTTGGTTATTTTTATTATAAAATGGAGGAAGATGCAATACTGTATAGGTTGCACGTTGGACTAATCTGATGTAATCTGCCAAGAGGATTCACATGATACAATTTACTTGGTTTTGGGATAGTTTATTACATATCCTCACCTTTGGTTTACATATCACGATTGATAGTGCATTAATCCAGCCAACTATGTCCAGATAAGTCCATGTGAAGGAATAATTTTAGTTAACTGATTTGAGGAGATAAGCCACATTTGATTAAAAGGCAATCAATTTGTCACAGAAACGGATTGTCCTACCTATTAAGATTTTACAAACCTCAAGAAACTAAAACCCACAAAAATGGAGTTTGGGGATAGAGTTTGTCCACATGTACAAGCAAGGCAGAGGACATGGTCTAAAGTCCACAGGATGTGACTTCAGTCATAAAAAAGAGCAGAGCATTTTCGAAGCAAGAAAATCTTTTTAAGTAGCTGAGATGGTTGAGCTGGAGAAAGAGAATTTATAGCCATTTACTATCTGCAAACAAGCGTAGAAAAATACATGGCGTATATCATATAGAGTGCTGAGTGCTAAACTGAAGAATTGAATATTTGTAATTATTCTGTGTGAACAGCTTTGTCAATCTGCTTCCAATAAGTCATTTTTTGTTGTCACTATCTCCAGTTGCTAGACCACAATGGAACATAAGGGGACAGTGGACCTGGAAGATGATTTGGGATTATTATCACGCCTTGCCCCTAGTCCTCACAGTGAAGCAGTTGCCCATGAATTTCAAGAACTCTCTTTGCATCCAAACCAGTATTTGCCTCCTCTCAAAGAAAGGAAGAATGGTAAGTATGCAACACGGCTGATGCCAAGTTTAAGTTTGTTTTTTTTTAACCAAAGTAAGCTACCCTTTGGTTTTATACCCATTTACAAGAGAAGTGGCTAAACGTTCTGTAATGTTGCAAAATGTCATAAACGTAGGATTTCCAGATGCAGCGATCCTCCAGTGCTTACATAATGTACTAATTACTCATGTAGGCAGTGCTCCTCTAATGAACGTTCTCTATATTTTAATATCTAGTTTTGGAATGTTAGTTTCATTGGTCATTTATAGAACTTAACGGATGTTTGTTTTCATGTCTTCCTGTACTGTTTCTTTTGGCGAGAAAACCGGAGGCTTAATCTGGGCATGTCTAGTCTGAAAACTGAACATGTTTCCATTTGGTGTGATCTTCATTCTTTGCATCCGTTTGGGAAAACACACACTTGCATATGGTCTTTTACTGCGGCATGCTTGTCTAGCGATTCCTTACATCTTTTTAACAGCTGTTTTAGTCTGAAATATCAGGGTTTATCTTGAAAAATCTCCACGACGTCAGGCCTTCTAACTTTGCCTCTTCCTAATAGTGAATTTAATTCTGCTTCTTTAACTACCTTTTTTTAAAAAAATCTCATGGAGATAGCTATGCAGATATTTGCAGGGAATTGGACCTGATATGTTAAAGAAGACTAATAAATCTCTCTTTCTGTAGCAGCACAACAATTGTGAGACAGTTGCCTGTGCCACTATGGCTCATGCTTTCATAAAAGTCAGATAGCAGTAGTGCATGCGATGTGTAGTAACTGTTTTAGATTGTGGGACCATGATTTCACTTATGCCCCCTGAAAGGTATTTTAATGCAGTACTCATTCAGGCAGTTATCTTCACCTTCTCAGATAATGCCAAAGGTAATACAGTTCTAGAGCCTGTGTTTAGAATTACAGGAGCCAATGTTTACTTGAGAATGAACTATTAAAATAATAGTCTTGTGCAGCTTTCTAATATTCCCTGGCTTTGTCCTTTTCCAGCATAGGGGAGTTAGCTTTGCTCAAGAAGCTCTAACAAGTCCATTCAGATCCCGAAAATGTATGCTTAGAATGTATAGCTTATAATTGGCCATGTATCCTGAACTCTCTGGATTTCGTCCAATAAGCTTTTCATCCTAGTTTTCAAACAGGTTTTATTATAATCCCTTTTGCAGCCTGAAATGGATTATTCATCCTTTGCTCGTTGTGACTTGATTTTACAGTTCACATTAATAATCAACAGTTTATTTTTTTTGGGGGGGGGACAAAAAAAAAGCAAAAAGCAAAAAAAAAACCAAAAACCCACCCCAAACCATTCTTTATGATGTTGGCAGAATTGCTTGTGCACAAAACTTTGATTAAAAACTACAGATCAAACAGTGATAGGTTCCAATTTTTTTTAAAAAAAAAAATACTTTCTATATTCAACATTTATTTCTTTCATTTTAGTCATCCCATTTGACTAAAAATCTATTCTGACAAGGATCTCTTTATGTCTTAACAATACAGTGGTATCAGATGGGACTGAAATATATTGTGTGGAGCCCAGTGATTTATTATTATTATTATTTTTGCCCCTGTTTGAACATTTAAACTATTATTGCAGCAACTCATTGTTCAGCTCTATCTTTTAGGCTTCTTTAATGGAGGTTGGTCCAATATATTTTTTCCATTGCTGCCTTAGTTTGAAATACAGAGCATGAAAACAATGTTGTATATCTTGTCAACGGGAATTCATTGTGTCATGAGGCATTGCCTTGTTTTTGTATTAAAAATGCAGGCTTAAAGTTCATTTATCTTCTTAGCATGAATTTAGGAAATGCAGTATGTTAAGTTATCCAGAGTCCATAGGGAATTCCACACAAATTAGAAGTGATCTAAAAGGAAGTATGACATTTTTTGGCTTCTAAGCTAGTTGTTATTTTATAAAGTTGAGTACAAATCAACTGTTGGCAAGAGCAGTCTTCCAAAAATATAATTCCTCCAAAGTCTTTCATCAAAAAGCTTTTAGTACTGATCCGAGATTTTGGTTTTGAAAGTTACTTTGCTTACAGTTAGTCTTCAAATCCTTTACTCTCCGGCTTTCATTTTAAAAATCACCGTTTTTAACCTTTATCATCCCAAGTCCACTGTTCCTCGTGGTCTTTAAATGAGAAAAAACAAATGGTCGCAAATAAATTTGATATCCCCCTGATACGCAAACCTATCTTTTAAACCCAGTTCTGTTGTTTTTAAAGTTTTAATATTTTAATTATTGCTGTTTAAGCCCGTATTTTATGATCAGTGCTGCTCCATGATATAAATACAAAATTGCAGTATGTAATGAAATTCACTCAGGGTCCAATATTATAAAAATGGAGGGGCAGGAAACTGTGACGTGTGAATCATTTGGTCAACGTGGGCTTTTTATCTAAGCCAGTGGTTCTCAACCTTTTTAATGCCGTGACCCCCCCCCAACCGGTCGTAAGTCGAGGACTACTCAACCGGTCGTAAGTTGAGGACTACTCAACTGGTGCAGCACCGTTTGCAGAATGGGACTTTTGGCGGGCTCAGCAGGGCAGAGACAGCCTGGACAATTCCTATTGGCTTTTGAAAGCCAATAGAATTAGACTCTATTCAAGAGAGTCTATTCTATTGGCTTTCAAAAGCCAATAGAATAAAAGGGAGTAGCACAGCTAAGGAAAAGGGGGAAAAAAATGGCGGACTGCATTGTTTGCCTACCCCCGTGAAATGGTCATTCGACCCCAAATGGGGTCCCGACCCACAGGTTGAGAACCATTGGTCTAAGCCATGACGTCTCTTAGCTTATAAAGAAGGAGGAGGCAGTTCTTATATGTGCTATTTCCCATTTAGCCTGTCATTGTTCTCAGTACTGCCAGTTCCCACAACTCCAGCATTCCCAAGGCATCTGTCAATGTCTGCAAGGAACAGATTTCAAATATTAAAGCATGTGAAAAGACCCACAGGCCAAGCTCCAGTGGTCTCCAGAGATTTGATCTCTAAAATCAACTCTCTTCTAACATTTTCACAGGCTTCTTTAAAAGAATTTCTGTACAGTCGTTTCATTTGGTAAACACTTAAGTTAAATCTCTGTCACTTTTAGTGAGATTTATTAGCGACTCTGTCCCCTTGCTTTAGCAAAATAACCAGAAATGCAATTAACGTCCAAATTTTAACAGTTTTAAAACAACAAGAAAAAAATTATATTGATATTTAATCTTAATGTAAGTTTCCAGATCTTTTTTTTTTTTTTTGGGTGGATAAAAACATTATTTATTTGGAAAGTAGTTTAGCATTTACTGAAAGAGTTTTTTTTTAAAAAAAAAAAATCCCCAAAGGAAATCATTGAATTCAGGATGTTCCTTTTCCTGAAATATTAAAAATCTTGAGTGTGGAGATTGGGTGAATGAGGTTTCAAACAAATGGCTTGTCAAAATGCTATGATGCTAATATCATATAAATGACCTAAAAGAAAACAGTAACGGGAAATAACTTCCAATGGGTCAGAATGTTTTTCCTTCATGTGAAAAATGGGTTGCAGCTTAATATATATTCAAGCGAGGCAGTAAATAAAACGCAGAAATAAAATAGGGCTGTGAATAAACTTGCGAAGATTCCTGGATATTTATGATTAGGGAGAATGGAGAAGCTTGACATTAAGTTCAGTAAGCAAACATAAGGTGTGTGGTTTGTTTGTAAAACATTTCTGGGGAAAGCCCATTTAATTGAGACATCAAAGTGAGAGTAGCAGTAGATACTTGAGACATTTGTCTCATACCATGAGGTCATTGGAATAGCATCTTCCTTAGGGCAAATAGGGTTTTAAACAAGAACTGTGTGTGTGTGTGTGTGTGTGTGTGTAAGAGAGAGAATGAGGGAGAGAGAGAGAGAGGGATATTGATCTAATACAGGCACGCTGGCTGAGGAATTCTGGGAGTTGAAGTCCACAAGTCATAAAAGGGCCAAGTTTGAAGACCCCTGATCTAACAACTAGGTACAATAACTTTGAAGCTGCTGTATTCTTAGTTAATAAAATTAAATGTTAATTTTTAAAAGCTGAATATTTTTGGTTTCTATCAATCAGACTATCAGTTGAACTACGGTAAGAATCTTTTTAGGATACATTTGTAAGACTTGTCACAGAAATATTTTTAGAATGTCTCTCTTCCTCATTCCCAGTTGAAGAAAGGATGCTGTTTCATGTTGGCCTTGTAAAACGTGTGAGTAATATTGTTTCCTTGATAGAAAAGTCCCATTTGTAAAAACAAAAAAAAGGAGAAATTGAAAAGCTTATCTGTTCGGAAAACAGCTTCAAGTATAATTTTTTGGATTCCTTCTAAAATCAGCAGTGTCATTGTCATTAAGGTTTGTGTTCTAAGAAGTGGAGTTAATTAGCTCACAAACAAGAGGTATATAAAAATCTCATGCCTTCTGTGTCATCTTTAGCTTTAATTTCATTTAAAAGAGTCTTCTATCAGCATCTTTAAAGCACTGCTCAAAAGAGGGGAAGTCAATTTGAGCAATCCTGAGTAATCTCTTATCTGGAAGGAATGAGTTAGTAGTTTTCCACCAAATGGCATAGTAGTTGCTCAACCAGTTTCACCATCTCCAGATGGGATAATAGCTTTCTTTCATGCGGTGGGATAATCTCTCTTTAGATTGTGTGTCTTTCAAGAAATTCTATTATTAACAGACGGAAGCTGATGTAGGTAGGCTTCGTTTCTGCATTCTATGAAGCTGAGCTGTGTGATCTGATGGCATGGCAAAAACATCTTGCTAGCTTATTATCTAGCAGCTATGTAAATGTTTTAAATGAAAAAATAATTCTTGAGCAGATATGAGATAGTGGCACGTTAAGATGAATACTGTACTAATAGCTTCTAGCAGGGCTTTTTTTCTCATAGAACGCCCAGAACGGAGTTCCGGCACCGTTTTTGGATGGAACCTTGTAGGATAGGCAAGGCGGGTTGTATGACGTGTGTGAGTTCCAGCACCTTTT